GGGGTTTATATTTCTTTCTTTCTTTCTCCTTACTTCTCTTTTCCTCAGTTATTATGCAGCAGGTTGCGCTAGGATTTCCCTTCTTTTTCTGGTGACAGTGGGCATCTGGGTTCCTGGAAAATAAATACTAAAATTTCTTTTATGTGCATTATTAACACAGCAGGATGCTTAGCCCTAATTTGAGTTACGTGGTGCTAAATTAGAGGACTGACCTTTGACATATACCTCCCCCTCCAAAGTTTTGTCCCCCTTCTATAGCTTGTTGCTGAAATTGACCAGGCTAAGTGGTATAAAAGATAAATTGAAGGGGACCAACGAGGTCATTGTTCAGGAACAAAAGCTGGGACTTGGGTTGGACAGTGACTTAGGGTTAAGTGTTCATATTATTTTATTCTGCAAGCTTTTCTCATAAAATTATAGGCTAAGGTGACATAGGTAATGAGGTCTTTTGACCTCAGAGTGTCCATCTCAAAAGATTATCTGCTTTATAGTTGCCATTCTTTAAGGCAGAAATGCTACAAATATTTAACCATAAACATAAATATTGTCCTTTAGCTTTGGAAAGACATCCTTGATTTGATCAGCTTTTTCATAGTTTCATGTCTGCAAATAGCCCAAATTTAAGAATGTTCAATTCTGAGGTTCCCACTGTGTAGCTACCATCTGAAATACACTGGAATCAGCTTATAATAAATACAGGTGTCTCAAAAATCCTCTTCATAATAAAGTAAAATTAAAGCCTGTGTCTGTTCAATGCTGATTTAATGGCATTACTTTGCAGAAGGCTTTCTCTCTGCAATGTAATAAAAGTCCAGGAAGTTCCTCTAAACTGAAGAGCTGATCATTCCCACAGTCATGAGATGAAAGCGAAACCACTGGCAAAGTTCCTAGCAGCTCTGTAGTAAAGTAAATAAAGCATTTACTGCTACTTTTTTTTTTTTTTTTTTTTTTTTTTTTTTTTTTTTTTTTTTTTTTTTTTTTTTTTTTTTTTTTTTTTTTTTTTTTTTTTTTTTTTTTTTTTTTTTTTTACTTTTTTTATTCAGAAGTAAAAAGGCAAGCTTGCTAGTATTTCTGTGACCAGTAGAATGAAAAAGGAGTTATTCTGTGTCTTTTTGAATAGAGAAAATCCTGTGGATAGTAAAGCCAACTATGAAGGAATAAACCCTAGGGAGGCAGGCAGGGAAAATCCTAACCTTTCTATACCCACCCCCAAAAAAAACCTATCAGAGCTGAAGCTATTTGTTATTAATACATTTGAGCTGTATTTATTGATTGTATTTGCATGCAGGGAGTAGAGTCTTCCCTAATATTCTTGATGGTTGATAACTCTTTTCATTAGAGATTCCAGGTAAATTACTTGGGTTGGAAGAAGAGATGCTCTAAGAAAGCCCAGGGGTAGGGACCATATGGTGACTGACCTAGGAGTGGGAGCTCTTGTTGCAGGGAAAACCTCAGGCCTGGCCTCATGCTGGACATCCCTTATATGTTTTTTGAGTAAGCACATGACTTGCCAGGAGAACCCATTGCCAGCACTGCATCGGTTCAATCAAGGGGACTCTAGATGGTTCCTCAAGAAGACTTTCCTAATGGCAAGGAAAGAGATGGAAGAATAGTAGGAGAGGGTATTTGAAGTGTGTAGCTGCTATTGGCAGGACAAGAGGTCAAGCATATGTCCTGTTCTCTCCACTTGCAGTTCCAACAGCCTTCTTCATGGGATATGTTAAGTTTGCTGCAATTGTATATAGGATTATTTGTTTCTGATGTAACAGTGTGCCAAGTGACTAAATGGATCTGAACTGTGCTCCTGAACAACACAAACTGGAGTATTGTCACATTACTGCTGAAGTAGATTCCCTGAGGAAATGATGTCTATATATGTTAGATAGACACATAGTAAGTGTGGAAATACCAAATTGGCTGAAAATGCTAGGTGGATAGGGTGCTTTCCAGATACTTTCAAATATATGTCCATACCATTAGCATATAGCTTGAATTCTGCCTAGCTTTATTCAAGTAGTAATATAGTTTATGCTTAAAAAGAAAAAAGGAAAAAGAAAAAACTGTAGGAAAAAAATTATAGGAAGAATAATGCTTGAATTGTATGTTGGTTTGGTGTGTTATTAATACCTTTGCTACACTACTCATGCTACTTTAAGAAGCTTATTTAAGCATAGCAAACTGTGATGTGGTAGGTGATATAGGATCAAATACACTTTAACTGGTTCGCAAGCAATAACCATGATACAATTTTTTTGAAATAATCAGAGAGCAACTGCCTATTTAAAATGCTTAGCATATGATGTAGATAATATTATTATATATTTACACTTGACACAACTTGAGTTGTGGAGTTTTATGCCACTAGTGTTTTACTTCCTATTAAATAAGTGAAGCTAATGTCCTGATGGCAGTTCAATTGCTTCCACCATTTCTGAAGTGTTACTAATTAAAGACACATTTGAAACACAGCAAATCAAAGTCTAACTAAAGTAAAACCTGAAGCATACACATATGGCATGCAAAAAGAGTGTACAAATAAGACAGCAGAGTTGCTAAATGCCTCCAGTGTTAATGGTATAGGCACATCCAGCCTGTCAATAACTGGATTAGGAATACTTCCTTTTGGTAGCAAATGTCCCTTCCTTTTGTTAAAAAAAAGCAGTGAGAGAATACTGTAGATCCTTGTCTTACTCTTGCCCAAGGAAAGTAGGAGAACAGATCTTTCTTACTTCTCTAGAAGGTGTTGGTTCAGCAAAGGTGCAGCATAAGGTATTTTTACTGCAGGACAGTGACAGTCAGAAAACAAATGCTGAGTTAAGACTTCTTTGTACCTGCAAAATCATGGGAGAGAAAACTCTTTTTAGGCCATCAGTCTTTTGGGACAGTAGAAAAGAAAGTGTTGAGCACAACAAGTCTTCTTTACACAGGTAGTTAATCCCTTCCTGGTAGCTGTAGGTTACATGGATCTAAAATCACTGGGATTACAGTAACAAAATCTAAGTGTACTTGTGTGGGGTAGTGCTGGTTTAGAAGAACATTATGGGTGTTGTCCTTCATTTCTGTTCCTTGCTGCTTTTTTATTGTGGCATTAGACCTTAAGCTCAGTTTAGATGCCTTTCTTTTCATCATCAATTTAATTTTATACTAATTAGCAAACTGTGTATGCAGTTTTCATAATACTTTTATTTGGTTTTGCACAGTTGATACATTGTGATTGAACAAATATGGCACGTTCTCTTTGTCATGGGTAAGTCTCCTCTCCATTTAGTCAGGGTCTGGTTTTAATGTATGTATTTCCTCCCTAGGAGATGGCTCTGCTGATGTCTCTAAAAGCAGGGGCAGGCATGATTTCCCAATGCCAGTAGACTCGCAGCTTCCCTTTAAGGAGAGGGCAGGAGCAATGAAAGGGCAAACTCCTATGCTGGAGATAAGAAACACATTTGGAAACCATAGGCAGAATCAAAATCCTCATGCAAAGGGATGCCAATATGGCTGCCAGGCCTTTTCCTCTCCCCATCCTGTTCTTTTCATTCTTTGGGATTTTACTTTGGCCTTTGCAGCCTACCCTTCCTGTTCTTTTTCATACTAAGGTAATAGAGATGTGAACTTTGTTGAGAAACAAGCAAAGCAAACAAACCCATGGCAATGTGCACTGTAATAGGTTCTTCTGTTTTCAGCAGCTCATTGAGAACTTGAAACATTGTTGTTGGTCTGACTTAGTTTTTATATCCATGCCTGTACAGAGAAGAGTAACCTCAGGCATCAGCGAGGACTATATTACTATGATGACTAATAAAAGCCCCCTTCATTTATAACTGGGCATTGATTCTTCCTTTGTCCTTCTGCATGAATTCATACACCACACTGTCCTCCATTTGCGAACTCTTACTGGGGAAAACATTTTATCCTAATAGCTGCTCTTTGAAATTGTGCCCTGATTTTTGCCTTTCCTGAACATACTTCACAGGAGCAGAATGTATTTAAATTCTCGCATCTCCAGAATTAACAAAATCAGCATTCAGAGCAGGGCTGAGTTCCTTTGGAGGGGCAGAAGTGGAAGTAGTCTCTGTGCTATAAACCTCATGACTGTGGGCGTGGGATGTGCAAAGACTGATCACTTGCAGAGTTGATGAGAACTGTGGCTATTCTCAGAAAAGCAGAGCAGGCTTTCAGGCTGAACCACTGCAAGTGATTCCTTTAACTCTTGATTTGAATCATGTATCTAACCCTGCTCACCTTTTTTATTTAAGAAATATAAGCATACCGACCCCTGTCACCCAAATGAGGCTACCTGCTGTATGAAGAATGTAGATAAATAACAGCAATTATCCACCTTGTTGCATTACTCTGACTTTGCTTGTGGATTTTCCTTGGATCAAATTGAGTTGGATGACTTAATGGCAGCAGACAAAAGACTAAACGGTTTCTTGGTGGAGTAACTAATTTAGATGACTGACAAAATGTATGTGTAGTTGAGTTTATATATTAAGCAAGGAAAAATCTATGGTTTTGAGATACCATAGATGTGTTTTTATGAACACAGTGTATATTCATGCAAAATATATACTATTTCTGCATATATTTGTTTTTCTTGGTGGCAGAACAAATGCATGATAATGTGGTAATATATGTAAGTGGTATCTTTCTTCTTGACTATATCATTCTTGATCTGAGAAGCAGGGAGTCTTATGAACCATTTTGGGCCAATGTTAATTTTATAAATTGCATTCCCTTTTCCACAATTTCCATGAAAAAGATATTCAGCTAGATGAACACTTGGAAAAATTTAATAGGATCCCTGAAATCTGTTTGAATTCAGCTTCTTAAAAAAAAAAAATCTCTTTCTAATGGAAGCTGTTCTAATATAAGGGTGTTTGAAATATTCTCTTTGTTAAATTGAAGCTCCTGCTCAGAATTATGGACTCTTTTTGTTTAGTTTATGTGACTTTTATTATTATTATTATTCAGTATTATATGATTTTCCTTTTTTTTTTCCCCAGTCTTTTCCTGGCCCAAGTCTTGAAAGTGAAGATTTTAACATACCTCCTATAACTCCTCCGTCATTGCCTGACCACTCCCTGGTGCACTTGAATGAGATAGAGTCTGGCTACCACTCTCTGTGTCATCCCATGAACCACAATGGCCTGCTTCCATTCCACCCACAAAACATGGATCTACCCGAAATTACAGTTTCCAACATGCTTGGCCAGGACGGGGCACTGCTTTCCAATTCCCTCTCTGTGGTAAGCATTTTTAGTCTTTCCCTTCTGTGCTACTTTACGTTGTGAAATTGTAGAAATACAGATCTGTCTGAAATCCTTGGAGGGGTCAGCTCCTGCACCACTGAAGTTGTGGAGCAAGCTGGCCTGATGCTGGGTTTTACATACACAGGCACTCCCTATGTCAAATCCTACCCCCAACAGAGGTGAGTTTTCCAGCTGAGTTCCTCAAAGCCAGAGTGTCCCCTGCTGCCTTGAGCAGAATTACTTCTGCTTTACATGGATGTAAATAATAACAAAAGGAAGCTCAAGGTTTTGACTTCTGCTGGAGCTGGCTTTGGATCCAGATGGCCGTTGTTCTGTGTTTCTCAGACAAGGCTCCTCCATTCTCATTTGCATGTGCAGAGAGATGTAAAAAAATTTAATATCTCCTTTTTTGTTTACTGCACGTTTGGAAAACAGCAAATGTTACTTCTGAGTGTAGGCCAAATCCTACAGCCTTTTTACAGTTCCCCCGTCCTTAACCAGACAGAATCCAGTTGAAATGACAGGGCAATTTGCTTATGAAGTCTGTCAGATAGTCATTATGGTTGTAATCTTGGGAAGTCTGGCATTAAAAATCACTTCTTTGAATGTCAAATTGCTCACAACAACTGCAGAACTACTTTGCATGTTACATTTTCAAGTGGGCGCTACAAATAATTAGTATGCTTCTTGCATAGCAGCTCCAGACAAGACCATTTTTCTGAAGAGGGCATTATTTTATGTACAATCCTAGGCCAAAGAGTTAAAAATCCCATGGAAGAGGATGGTGCCTGGCATTGTGTAGGGTTCACTGGACATCAGGCACTCTGCTAGATGGGCTGCCCAGGAACGGCAGATCTGGACAGCTGAAGTTAAGGATCTGCCGCTCCTAGAGATCCAAGGGTCTGGGTTTCTCAACAGAGATTCAGAGACTTAGGACCTTGTGTCCCAGCCAAGAGGCTCTGCTCTTAGAGCCTGAGGCATTTTAGCCCTCCAGCATGCTGAATTCCCATCACATTACCTAAGAAAAATAAAACAGTCCTGGGAGCCTGGGAACTGAGACAGCATATAAAGGTTTGGGGATTGAGGAATCTAGGCTCAGCTGCACATCAGCACCTCAGCCTAACAGCCTCAGAGCTGGGGGCTGGGCTCTGTGGTGGCCGGAAAACAGTCACTTTGCAACAAAAATCTGCTTTGTCACAGGGCTTCATTGCCACTTAATTAAAAGCTGCCTTGGTTTTGAGAAGCTCTTCATTCCCTCTGAGGTTGTCCAACACGCTGTATCTCAGGGGGGCTAGTCTTGGTTGCTTATGTGCTGCTTAGTCGTTATTGATTTACTAGGATGTTGCACACTTTCTGCTTGTGGTTGGAATCTGACGCCAGGGTTATGTTCAATAATGAGAGGGTAGAGGATGGGGCAGATTTTCATAGAGAAATATAAATATACTTCATGGAAATGTTTTGAATTTTGCTTGTATTTCTACAAAGCTAATGGCATGCATTAAAGATGAGCTAAATCTTATGTGGGGTTCTGAGGATCAGAACTATGAAAGGACTTGAAAATGTAAGAGAAATGCTTGGTACTGCAGTCAAGACAAGCAGTATTTCACTGAATTGGTCTCTTTTGAGCTGTGTAAGTGGCTGAAAACTTGGGATTCTTTTAAGCTCTGATGTTCCACATTAGCCTCTTGCAACAAGCTCTGAACAAAGGGCCTCGAGAGTTTGTATATCATCGCAGTGAATTATTGCATTGAGTTCAAATACAAAAAAGCTGAATAATAACAGTAGATAATTTTGCTATTAGGACTTAGTGTGGATCAGAAAAAATGAAAATCAGACCTCAAGAAAACATGCTAAATTTTATCAGTCATTTCTGAGGATTCGTTCAATGAATAAAGCGTGATTCATGAAACACCATGGGCTGAGTCAACTGTTATCCCTAACTCACATGCCCTTTGCACACAAGATGGCCTCTTAACTGGCAATAGTTTCAAATGAAGTTAGTTTGTCTGTCAAGGGGATTAAGCTACATCTCATGTTAGTACAACTGGTAGGATGCTAGCACTACCATTTTGTGTGGTTCAAACACTGTTTGATAGTATAGTTCCCCTGATTTAAATTTGATAACTTGAGAGGAATTAACTTGAGGGAGAGAACTGAAGTTAATTCTTGAGTGAATTCAGTGACTTCTTTGGTGAATAGAATGGGCCCATTGTCCTTTTGGCTTCCCTTTCTGAAGAAAGACAGAGGATTTTGTAGAGTTAGCACTCTTTACTTAGCTTTGTAAAAATCCAGAACCTTTTACATTTTTTTCTTCAGTGTGACTTTTCTCTTGCTATTACTCATCTCTAAGTTTCATTTTTACTGTCTCATCAGATTCTGATCCATCTAACAAGCACTTGCCTAAATCACTTTTATATTCCTCATATAGAAAATAATGTATGTTTCTCCAATCTATCTGAACTCTTGTGCTGTATAATTTCCGGTATATCAGCTACTGCTTAGTGCATTTGGAAACCATCTATCTTGCTCTGATCCATCTAACAAGCACTTGCCTAAATCACTTTTATATTCCTCATATAGAAAATAATGTATGTTTCTCCAATCTATCTGAACTCTTGTGCTGTATAATTTCCGGTATATCAGCTACTGCTTAGTGCATTTGGAACCATCTATCTTGCTTTTTTTTTTTTTTTTTTTCAGGGCATTAGTAAGTATTTTTAGAAAAAAAATGTTCTTAGATATGAATCTGTTGGCTGTTTTCTATCCCCAATTAATTTCATGTCTTCAGCAAGTTTTACTTACACTGAGACAAATTCAACTGCAGTGAAATATGCATCTGATTGAATTTGGTCTTCTTTTTTCTTATTGTTATTATTTTCAACATCCTTCTTTTTAGCCAGTTTTTAAGCTATCTTGGTATTTTAGCAATGATGTCTTCCTTTTTTTCTGTGTTAAAACTGGTGAGTGGTTTTCAATGGGTGTTTTTACAGACAAAGCATTAATTAATGCTAGCCAAACAAGAGAAAGGAAACACAGTGAACTCAAAACAAAATAGGAGAATAGTTTGTACACTGACTGAAGCATTTTTCTTTCATCTCAGCTGCCAGATGCTTTCAGATGAAGATTTTGGACATATTGAAAATTGAGAATGTACCCCTCTTAAAAATACTTCAAAACTACTCCTGTTAGGAGTCTTGGTTTTGTATTGTGCAGCATTCCCTCCAAGCTGCAGATGAAATCCCTTTAAGGATTGCAGGATTTGCCCCAAGCTCCATAAAAATTCTCCTCTTTGGAAGTGCTTAAACACACACAATAAGAGTCCACTACCAGTTCAGTGAATTCTTATTAGGGATCAGCTTCTTACAGATTTTTTACACTGTGGGAATTAATTCTGAAAAATTTGACAATGCTGGGAAATGAAAAATTTCCTGTTGCCATTTACTGTGTCTGAAACTTAAATTTGGAATTAGCCATCTTTGAAGTTTTTTTGATTGATTGAACTTACTGTTACACTGCTTAAAAGAAAACAAGGCAAAACAAACCATTAGTATTTTCTCATTCTCATTATTGTGTTGTTAATTCATATATTGGCTTCTGTGTTTGTGTGTTTCTTTTTTCCGCTTGGGTGACATACAGGCATATACACACATGCACATACACGCTAGTTTATACTATGCTGGCACATGCATATTTCTTTAGGCATTTGTTATATCTGGATACTGGGAGTTCAGAAATCCACAGAAGTTGTGGAGAATGTGACACATGATGTGGATACACAGTCCAACCCCAGCATGGTTGGTCATATGTGGGAACTCTCTAAAGTCCTCCATCAAAATGCACACAACTTCTATTCCTGACTCCTAATTGGATCCAATTAGATATAGATAGAGCTGTTTAACAAAGATGTACTGGTTGTCCTTTAGGCATTTCTGTTTCTTTATAATGGAATAGAAATCCCTTCCTGATTTACTACAGTTGGAGGCAGTCCTATGTAGATTTATCTAACTCACAGAATTTGGACTGCAAACACTTCTCTGTTTGCATGGATATACCATACCTATGCAAATGTGCATTTATCTATAAAAAATGCTTTTGGATGTGCTCTATAAAATGAGTTTTACTGTGTGTTCATTTTATCAAGAATATTATAGACATTTCAGGTTCTTTAGTATTTCCTGTAGATGATTGCTTTATTCCCCAAGAAACCAGGGTTAAAAATCATAGTGTTGTTTTTATATAGAGGAAAAAAAAGACCTATTTTTTTTGTGTCCTTTCATTTATAATCTTGTGCTGATCTTTTTGAAAATGTGATTCATGATAGTATACAATAGAAAATTTACAGGAAATAAATATAAGAGATTTCAGTTTCTCAAAATGCTTCAAATTTCTGGGTCTGAATTTTAATGTGGAAAAGATGTTAAAAGGCAATAAAATCAAGGGACTTATTTCCCAAACACTTTACTTGTTCTGGCAACAAAAGCCATCATAATGTATATACTTAGTTTTATTGTTATTTTTAGTATACAGTCAAGGCGCACTTTGAATTCAAAGGCTACTGTACAACTGTTTTGACAACCAGTGCATCAGTAGGTAATATTCAGGACATATGAAACTGGAACAAAAATGTTTCTTTAGGTCTATAGGGACTGCAGTATATCAATGAATTCAAATATATTAGAGCTGCATGAATTTCTAATATGTTCCTCTTACAGAAAAGACCACTGGCATATTGAATAATGCTGCTTTCAAAGCAGAGCAGAAAATGTGATTACAGACAATTTCATTGCCGTTTTTAAAACAAATATTTTCAAAATCTTGAGGTATTTTATTTCATGTAATGCATAAAATATGTAACAGTGGACTAGAGCTAAAGATCTTTTAGGACACTGAAGAGTAGATGATGTCAGCTATAATTATTCAGATGTGGAACAGCAGAAGCATTAGTTTAAAATAAAATGCTTGTCACAAAGGCCCGTGTTCTTGTATATATATATATA